TCCGTGTTCTTACAGACTAGACCAGAAACAGTAGAATTTATCTTGAAGGGAGTGGATAACACAAATGTACATCAACCAGGTGACATAGCAGATAGTTTCATGGGGGATTTATACATATAGCTGAAGACCTGAGGGGAGGAGAGGGAGGAAGGGAGAGACACAGCACACTTGTCCTTGCCCAGGGTCCCCTGAATTGTGGATTCAGCTTTGCCCTCGGAGAGCTTAGTCTGGATCTAGTCTCCAGTCCATCAAGCCCAGCATCCATCCTCACAACACCAAACGGGATGCCTGGTTGAGGAGCTGTTCAGGGACCTGGATGTATTCACAGAGGAAAGACAGTAGGGAACATGGAAACCTCACTTCCCATTCCAGGGATTGGAAAGTATTTACACATTGACATCCACACATGAAAATATTGCATACACAATTACTTACATATATACACACCTGTGATATACCTATGTAAATGCCTTATATGTATATACACACAGATACTTGTGTATGGTGTATGTGTACATACACATTGACACACCCATCATACATACAAACTATAGGCTAGCATGTGTGAATATGTATGAATTATATACACATAATTTAGACCAACACACACATGTACACTCTTACCTATGAGTTTTCAACACCAGGTACAGACTAGTTCAATTGGAAAGATATTTTCTAGTCTTTCTTTTTTTGAAGTCAAACATTAAAACTCAAACTTGGTGCCCGATGCTTTTACTCATTGTTTAAAGGTCTGCCAACAGAGCCACACTTGCAAGCCTGGAGATTCTTTGCACAATGTGGACCACATTTTATTTCTGACACACAATGTAAATCCAGTCACACTGTGTGCATGTGAGTACATAACAGGGCTGGCAATGTTTCATTTGGGCAGCACAGGCACTGATGTTTTCTTCAACTCGAGGCCTCAGGCCTGCCATGCAGGTGCTCTAGCACTGGGCAGGCTTCCAGACTTTGATGGTTTCAGTGCCATTTTTGAGAAGGGTCTGGTGATTTTGGTCATATTCTCAACTGGAGCTCCATCTTCTTATGTGAATTTTCCATCTGGGGATTATAGGCACATGTCAGCACACTGAGTGTCTTTGTCTGAGATGGAGTCTCATGAACTGCTTGGCCTGGCTGTGCTGGCCTGGTGAGCTCCTCAATCTCAGTCTGCAGGAGTAGGGCTGTCACACACAAACACACATACACACACCACACAGCAAATGGTTGAAAAGAGTTTCCTAAAACATCTTGCTAGAATAGATCTCCACCTTCAAGCACCCTGCGCTCTCTCTCCAGAACAGCTAGCTTTATGTGCCTGGACCACAGTCACCTGTCCTGGGCACTGTAAGCACAGCAGTCCCCTTCAGGTACTTTCAGGGGATTTGTAAGAGCCTCCGGGGCCTGTGAGACGCTGGCTTGGCAGAGAACAGTGAGGTTAAACTTCCGGAGGTCTGAAAATGGAGGCACCTGGAGAAAGGCCCTCAGGTCTGGGCTGGGGAGGGCCAGTGTGTGGTCTTCACACACTCATCTGTGACCCAGTGATATGAAGTGCTTTACACTACTGGGCAATGAATTTGTTATGCTTTCTCTTCTTGGCCAAATGTGTACATTTCCATCATCAGTGTTGTACAGCTACATGTACAATCTACCTGAAACATTTGTTTTCCTGACAGGAATGTCATGTTTACCTGACCAGTCCCTGAGCCCTGGTCATTCAGTGAATTCTAGCTGTGAGTGTGCTGACACACTTCATTAGTGAACAATTCTGTGTTCATGGTCAGCCAGAACTAACTTCTATCATGACAGATACAAGCTTGCAGGCTGCATTTCTTTGTGCTGTCCTGGGGATTGGAACCCAGGGCCTGGACCCAGACCATGAACTGTTGCTGAAGGCAAAACTCTACCACGTGAGCCACAGCTTCACTACTGCTGTCTTGGATCATTAGATTTAGCAGCACAGACTTGCCTGCACAGGCTGGCTTCCCAATTGAGCTTAAGATGTCAGACCCCGGAATAGCTAGGATTAGAGGCTCCACTTTTCTTTTTAAAGCAGAGCCCAGGATCTCTTCATGAACATTTGACAAGGAAGCTGAGATGTGAACATAGAGAAGAAACAGGAAACCACCTGAGACCCTGAGGGGAAGAGGAAAGCCCAGAGGCTGCCAGGAAAGAGCAGCAGCTGCACCTTCCTGATGCTCGGGGCCAGCACAGAGCTGAGGCCCAGCCTGAGATCTTGTGCAGGAGGCCCCTGCGGCTGTGCCTCTGTGGCCTCTAGCACAGTAATAGGTGGCTGTGTCTGCAGAGTCCACGCTGGCCAGTGTGAGGAACACCTGGCTGTTGGAGCTGTCCTTGGAGATGGAGAGCCGGCTCTTCAGGGCTGGGTTGTAGTACTTATCATCATCCCACCACACATTTGCCAGCCACTCCAGGGTCTTCCCTGGGGGCTGCCGGATCCAACTCACACCCACACCATTAGTGCTCAGAGAGAATCCTGAGATGGAGCAGGTGAGGCTGAGGGTCTGGGAGGGTGGCAGCAGCCCAGGTCCAGACTCCTTCAGGGCAATCTGGGACAGGGCCCCTGTGGAGAAACACCAGGAGGAGGTGAAGCAGGGTCAGGGGAGCACAGGAGACTTCCCACCCCAGAGCCCTGAGCAGAGCACTCACAGGAAGGGAGAGTGAGCAGCAGGAGGGTAGAGCACAGCCTGTCCATGCTGTCCTGTCCACAGCCATCATCAGCCAAGCTGGGTGCTGGTCTTTTCAACCCAGGCGTGGGAGGGGCCGGGTGCATTTGCATTCCTCTCACCTGGGTGCTGACTCCACCTCCTCCACTCAGGCCTCATGGCTCAGGAGGGGGAGGCTGAGAAGTGCAAGTCTGGTGCACTGTTGGGCAGCGTCCACGTCTGCTGGATGGGGACGGCCAGTGACACTCAGAACCAGGTTCTGAGCACAGCTTTGGTTCAACGCTGTGGTTCAGAGGCAGTGAGGCTCTGGGCCTCTCTCTGGAAGACAGGACCCTGTCCCCAGACAGCAAGGCAAAGACCCTGCACCTGGTTCAATCTGGAGAGGGTGGGAGAGACCAAGAGAGATGGAGCTCATTTTGTCCTCAGAGGAGGAGGCTGTGTCTAGGGCAGGCAGGGAGGTTCCTCTGTGTCCTGCAGCTCTTGATCAGCAATGCTTCACATTCACTCAAGTAAGAGGGCTCACAAAAGAAAGCTCCATGTGGACACCTGGCCACCTCCCCAGATGAAGCACAATGAGCGTGTGCCAAGTTCCCCAGCAGGCAGCAGACACGCTGAACACTCCACCTGTGTGTTTGTGTATTTGGTGCAATTGGGAAATTCTCGTGTTTCACTCATATTTATTTGAGAGACACATGGAGAAACTTAAAAGTTCGTTCATATCACATCTCACGTTTGAACGTGGAGGTTTTATCAGGTGACACATCACTGATTGAGGTTGATCTTCAGTCAATGAGGTAACATCTCACCGTGTAACATAACCTATTGTCCTTAGTGACACCTTCACCAGCTGACAAGCACAGAGAGAAGACACAGCTGACCTCATGAAGGACTTCCAGCAGGGCTGAGGTTGGACTTTGGAGTCCCAAGGTTTCCTGTGGATCTCGTGGGCTGACATTGCTGATGGCTGTGTGCAGTGGTGAAGATTAGAGTCTGTGTGGCACCATGGACCCTGCTGGGTCGTTGTGTCTGATATGTCTGACTGACGTGCAGCTCTCATGAACTGGGAGGTCTGATCACCACACTTGGGCTCACATGGTGGGTTGAGGCCCTTTGTCATGTGGGCTGAGCTCACACGTCTCAGCCTGGGACAAGTGTGTGCTACAGAATGAACCATGTATGTCTGAAAGGTGTGGACTGCCGCTGGGCTCAGGAAACCAGTGAGGCCACCTGATTCCTTGGTGTCCCTCCAAGGTGCTCTCCTCATTCTGTAGAGATGCAAGGCAAACGCAGAGTCTGGGCAGCTGCTGGCCCAGCATGGTGCCCATGGGATGGAAGACAGAACTCTGATCACAAGACGGTGACAGCTGGAGACTCGCATCTCCAAGGCTCCTGTAGGAAGGCACTCTGCTCAGCAGGATGCAGGCTCACACCTGGGCTCTGTCCACTCTGCTTTTATCCAGGGGATCCTGCTGCTCAGGGACACTGGGAACAGCAGCCAGGGCGTCATTGCTGATTAGCTAAGAGGCTGGGGCAGAGCCCTCACAGGAGATGCTAACTCTGATAGTGATGTAAAGATCCATGGAAACAGAATGAATGTCACTCAGGTAGACAGGATTCCTGTGAAATGTGATGTGTAAGAAAGCAGACAGAGAGGAAGAAGGAGGAGCAGTAGGAAGCAGAGGTGGAGAAGAAGAGAGAACAGAAGGAAACATTAAAAGAATGTGAGGATGGGAAGAAGAGCAGGAGGAAAACTATTAAAATTATCTCAAATGTAAGGGGAGGTAGAAAAAGTGAAGGGCTGGTCTGTGAGTTCATCCAAGTAGAAATCCCAATTTTAGTATTTTCAGTGAAAAAGTAGAAAAGGCAGCTGGTTAGCTTTTGTCTCTACACCCTAGAATTCCATCTCTCTCACTCATTTAAGTCCATCCACAGGTAAAACTTCATGTACTAGATGACATTGTCCAAAAGAATGTGCTCATTACCTGAGTTAGGAAATGGTAACTGGTCTGGACAACACTTTAATAATGACAGTAAACTTATATTAAAAACTGCATGTACTAACTGTTGGGGAACAAAATATCTTCATATGTGGTGTTCCACAAATATATAATCACCTGAAATGTGCACTTATTTCTGTAAGCAAACATAAAAATAAAACATAAACCATTCATGTCCAATTTAAATGTAAATATATCCTGACAAGCCCTGGACTATTGCTCTACTGTTGTACTAAGGAATATTTCAAACTCTCTTCCAATAAAAAGGAATTAAAATCATCTGGTACTGTGGCTTATGACTATAATCCCAGCTTCCTGGGAAGCTGATTTGTGAGGATCATGGTTTGAAGCCAGCCCCAGGTAGGAAATTCCATGGCACTAACATCTCCATTAACTGCCAA